AGGATCTCTCGCATCGTTCCATCGCTAAAACGTTGGGAATCGCGAATTCCACGGTGTCGCGAGTGATTAAGCGGTTTGAGGAACGGTTGACCACCGATCGGAAGCCCAGAAGTGAAGGAAAAAGTATTCCGTACAACACCAAAAATCACAACCGCGTAGTTGGGGCCTTCAACCGAAATCCGAACGCCTCCGTTAGGGATGTGGCTAAGAAGCTGCACCTAAGCCGAAGTTTTGTCCAGAAGGCCAAAACTAAGACTGGGCTTCGAACGTTCAAGGTACAAAAGGCCCCTAATCGCGACGAGAAGCAGAACAAGTCCGCCAAAACCCGTGCCAGGAAGTTGTACCTCAACATGCTGACGAAAGTTGAATGCTGCATCATGGACGACGAAACATATGTGAAGGCCGACTTCAAACAGATCCCCGGCAACCTGTTTTTCACGGCCAAGGATAAGTTCAGCGTTCCGGAGCATGTCCGCACTCAGAAGATGTCCACATTTGCGAAGAAATTCCTGGTTTGGCAAGCCATCTGCACGTGCGGGAAGCGGAGTGCACCTTTCGTGACCCACGACACGATGAACGGACAGGTGTACATAAAAGAGTGCCTCCAGAAGCGGCTGCTTCCTCTCCTGAAGGCCCACAACGTCCCAACAATCTTCTGGCCGGATTTGGCCTCATGCCACTACTCCAAGGACGTGCTGAAGTGGTATGCGGACAATAAGGTCAATTTCGTGCCGAAAATGTTCAACCCTCCCAACACTCCAGAGCTCCGCCCCATCGAGAAGTACTGGGCGATTATGAAGCAGCACCTTCTTAAATGACCTAAGGTAGTGAAGACAGTCGAGGAACTGAAGAAAGTATGGGTTTACATGCAAAAAACGGTTGATTCACAGGTTGTGCCGAATCTTATGGCCGGGGTTAAGGCCAAGGTGCGGGCATTTGCGTATGGACTGTAAATAAAATACGAGTAAAATGGTAAAATGAAGTTTAATAGTTATTTCTCAATCCCTGAAAATGTAATGGCAATCGGATGAAAACTCGAATTTTGCGAATCAATTTTGTGTGTGGCAATTTCATCGTGGACACCCTTTATGTCTATGCGGTCAAATGTTGTGCTAAAGTCTGTATAGAGAACTTCTACTTGGTTTCCATTATCCATTGCATTCAATGAATAGTCTATAAATTCCAGTAAATTTGTCGAGGTCGAGCGACCCTTGAAAGAGCCGTGTTGCATGTCAGTAATTCTATTTTTGATTTGGAGAAATAATTTTTCGTTGACAATTGCCTCGAAAAGTTTAGGAATGCAAGAAATAATGGCTATACCACGATAATTACGTACGTCATATTTTTGGCCAGATTTAAAGATAGGCGCTAGGAATGAGCTTTTCTTAAATTTTTGGGAAGGTTCCAGATTCCAGGGACATATTAAAAAGCCAAAACAATGGAGCAGTGAGTTCCATTGCTAGATGTTTAATAAATGCTGGAGGAATTCCGTCAGGTCCAGGACCTTTTGAGGCATCTAAATTTTTTAAAGCCTGCAAAATATCCTGCACTTCAAGTTGATTGAGGCCAATGTCCCTTGAAAATTCTTGAAAAAATGCAAAATAATCGCGGTCGCTATCTTTTTCAGAAAATGTCGTATAGATTTCTTGAAATTTTTTTGCAGATAGATTGCAGTTTTTTCCGAGCTATCACCGACATTTTCGTCGTGATGCATTATTGAAGGAAAATTGTCAGATTTTAATTTGGTTTTTACTTAATAAAAGAAGTTCTTTGGACAGGATTTTATTTCATGTTCTGTTTTTGCATTATATTCTTCAAATGCAGTACTGATAGCTAAATTCAGTTGATCGCATATATCCAAATAAATTAATAAATTATTACTACTATTGTGTTTTTTATAAATTGTATGTGCTTTTTGCTTCCGATTTTTCATTTTTTTTTTATTTGTTCGTTAAACCACACTGGATTTTGTGTTTTTCTGTTGCGTTTTCAAAGGAATTTCTTCCGAAATTATTTCTGTTAACATTTTGTAGAACACCACACTGGATTTTGTGTTTTTCTGTTGCGTTTTCAAAGGAATTTCTTCCGAAATTATTTCTGTTAACATTTTGTAGAACACGTCTATATCAATTTCGACATTTCCTACATTCCTTAAAATTAATTGCCAATTGACACTGTTTAATTTAAATTTTATTTTTTCGTGGTCTGCTAATTTGTATTCAAAGACTTCTTCGTATTCGCAGTCGTTGGGTCTTTGGTTTTCATGCACAAATAAAGAATATTCAATTGCTGTGTGAACGCTTGATTTTTCCACAGTGGATTTAATGATTCGGTCACACAGAAATCTTCATAAATATTCGTTAGTAAATAGTCCAAACAGCAATTTTGTTGGTTTTTTATGTGGTTAATTTGGTTCAGTCCTAAATTACCAGTTTTGTCAAAAATGAACTGCAATGTTTCATTATCCCCAACGACTGGGACTTTAACCTCAGGAGGAAGCTCAGATATAATTTGATCAGCACTTTGGAAGAAGGCTTCATAAGTGCTTTTATGAGCATGGTCTGGTGGAAAATACACTGAGGCGAACACGTTCGTTTCACCGGCTATGTGTGATTTCACCCAAATATGCTCAAATTCTGTAAATTTTGGTGTAAAGATGAGTTCTGAGTTAAAATTGGCCGAAAGAGCTATAAGGACTCCACCGCCTGACTTCTTCTGAGTTGCAAGAAAATTTCTGTCATCTCTGAATACATTTAAGGCATTTCCAAAGATTTCTTCACTTTCACGCTTTTTTTTTTTTTCCTTTGGTTTGTTTTTTCCGTCGATCTTGTTTTCCGTGCTGAGCACCAATGCTACCGACGTGCCAGGAAGGCAGCTCCCACACCTGGACCCTACCTATCGACCCATCAACTCATGAACCGGGGACCAACGGCTTTACTTTCCGAAGGAAGGCGTAATCAGAGATGTTATGCCTCAGAACATCCCGGCGGCGCCGACTGGGATTGAACCCAGGCCTGCTGGGGTGAGAGGTAATCACGCTTACCACAACACCACCGGCGCCGTAAACGCTTTCACGCTTGTTTTAGTTGCCAAAATGACCGAGAAGGATGAGCATAATAAATTTTGATAGTTCTTCCTTCATTTTAGCTGGGCTTTTCATGCGATTGAAATTTTGACAGTAAATCAAAATTTCAGTCGCATTCTGTTTATGGAAGAAATTGTTGGAAGTACGTGGGTTGATAAAATATTTTCATTATTATTATTATTTACCTCTTTCTCGTCGAAAGGAGTCATTGCTTCCAAAAACTCGGGTAGTGAAATTTGTCGGCGCTTTCCATTATACGGTGCAGGTGTTGGATCCTCTGGTTGTTAAGATGACGCTGATAGGATTCCAAGTCGTCAGATGCCGCCTGTTTTGGTACACCATATTCTTCATGCACCTCGTAAAAGATTTTCCGAAGTTCCTCCGCTGAAGTCGGTAGTTCTTCGGATGCCAAATTAATTTTGATGCTAATATTCGTCATGCCTTTCATGGCAAAACGATGCCTCCTTGTCATGCATATATACCAAATAAAGGCGAACGATGTGCATTATTTTTGTGCCCCGTAGTCGTGCTTTCAGGAAACGCCCGTCCCCATCAGCTGATTGCTGCGTCAAGCTTACGATGGGTCGAGTGACCATTCAGATGTTGTATTTGATTGCAGAAGTGATGACGGCGTTTCAGTATTGTTGTTGTATTGTACCTGCTTTTCTGTTCGGTATTGGTTGATGGTTTCACCCTTCCTGAAGTTGATAAATTTTGGGACCGAGAGGGCTGTAATCGGGTGGTCGGTGGTCAATGGCGGACCAGCAAATTGTACTTTCGCTGTGGCCAGTAGTTGCTTGTCCGATCCCTTGGCGCGGCTGTATTCATTTCCTTGGATGATGTTTTTGGTACTGCTGGTGTGGATTTGTTGTTGTTTTCGTCGTTTTCTGCTGCGTTTGGCTTTTTCAGCAGCTTTTTCCTGCAACCTGTGAGTCTGTTGTTTTGCGTCAAATTTAGACCAGCCCTGCTTCCAGTGCCATTTGTTGCCTAAAAACCGCAATCCAGGAGATGAATGGTCAGTTTTTGGAGATATTGTATTTTTGTGTACTGGAGGACTTTCATTTTTGAAAGAGTTGAATGTTTTTGTCAAAACAATTCGTTGTAGAACGCAATTTGACATAATTTGTTGGTTTGCAGGAAATATCACAAATACTTAAGGCGCTTTTTATTTTGTTTAGAAGCACCAACTAAACAAATTTTGGCCCAGCTTTTCAAGCCGCTTGTGGAAACATACGTTGGACCAGGCTTGGAACATATTTTGGCCCAGCTGAATATGCTGGTTCACGGACATAGCGGAAATCTATTTTCGCTAGATAATGACGAACATATTTTCGCCATGCCTCATATCACTATTTTAACTCATTTGATCGCTTATAAATGCGAGCTTAAAAAAAGGTGTCAATCGGATTTAATTGAAGCAATAACCACATTTGCATGTTAAACATGTATAAATTTAAAAAATAATAACTCTTGAAATTTGGGTTCAATTATACCACCTCCTATTGATTTTGGGCTGGTTCAGCACGAGTGTGAAAATACGTGAGTATATTTTCAATTTACTATCACTAAATGAATCATTTTTCTAAAAACATAAATGGAAGACGCTAAGTAGTGTAATTATGTTCATGTAATTTTCACAATAATCTAAAATTTTATTAATTTTATGTGACAAAATGTGTAGAATGTAGCCAGGTGGGCCAAAATATAAACGTGGGCCAAATTACATCCATTACCTTAGTATGAAGAAAATGTAAGAACCAGAAGGAATAGTAAATAACTGTTGATAATTGAATCATAAGTGTCGGAGCATACCGCAGTTTTCCTCTGTTGATGACCTCGTTATTTATAACACTGTCCACTTGTGCCATCCCACACCTATCGATAATGTTTCCTTTCCTTTCTTTTGCATCCGCAGTCCCAGATGATCATATTCAATTATATCGACACGGTAATCGTGTTTGTAGTGCCATTTACAATCATCCTAGTACTGAACTCCATCACGGGCTTCACAGTGTGGCGGGTGGCCGGTCTTCGCAGAAACATGACACTGACACGGCGGTAAGTATGGATGTATGCGACATGGCTGCCTGACTGGTTGTCAAACTGATAGCAACGGGTCACTTCTTGTGTGACTTCATAGTGCGTGACATATTCATCGCAATCTTAATTTGGCTGGTTATTTTTATTGCATGCATGCTTTCTGGATGCTGTAAACAGGAAGCCATCGAGCTTTGAAATCCGAAGACAGCTTAGCATTCAGAAAACCTGCCCACACCCCAACGGACGTAACAGTGTACTCAAGCAAAGACCCGGTAAGTGTAATGGGGCATATTTTACATCGTTTCCGTAGTCATGGCCATTCTTCTTTATCTATTCCCGGTAGAAATCGGTCGCATGGTAAACTCCCAAATGAAGGTCACCAAAATGCTGCTGATTGTATCGTCTGTTTTTGTCTGCCTCAACCTACCAAGTTATCTAATGCGTGTTCGTGCGTTTATCGAGGTACGTGAGAATCGACATATTTTTGGTTTGGATGATGGAAAACTGAAGCTTGTCGATGTAGTTCGTGCTTATCGCCCCAGTATATCACACTTGCATTGATTTCATGAATGTGATGAATGTGATTCTATTAATTGTTTGGTAGAAGGTGGCATATCGGGTGTTATCAATTAATGATTTCTATCTATTAGGTAAATGTTCTTCTTCTAGGCTTTTTACGTTTCTTTTGAGAAAACATGCACATTGCACAGATTGACCAACAAATTTCACAATGAATTAACCTTAATGACGCTAACTGTTTTTAAAGGTTTGATTTCATTGTTAAAAGTTCAGTGTATTTGTGATCAATTTAATCCAGAGCTAATAGGAATAATTCTATCACAGCCCGTCAATCAAAAAAGTGTGTGATTCCAAATGCATCAAACTCACAAAAGCTTTTCAGTCTGTCAAAAAGAGACATGTGCACTTACACTTACTATGTCACTGTGCAGCTCTTTTCAATAGATGAGAAAAGTCCTTTGACAAGGGACTATTACAGCCCTTTGAAGTATGGCTTTTATCTCCAATGAAGGTAGTTCGTTTTATACGGCATGTAATTCCTTCGTGGGAGGATTACCTGAAATCATGGCTACTTTTTATATTAGCTTTTCACACTGATAAGGTTAACAGTAAAAAGAGGGTATATATTACATAAGCATGACTGACCGCTCGAGGATGCAACTCCGTTATTGCCAGATCAGCTGTAATTACACAGAGAACCAATAGACGATGCTTGGGACTAGCAATTATCCTTAATGTTTAAATACTGGTGATCTAAAGCTAGGCAATACCTGCGTTGGCCACGTCCAAATACTGGTCAAGTAAGGAATGGGTAAGAATATGATGACGTAATACTCGCTTTAATGAAAGCCGAGAACACCTCTGCTTTTTCACGAGAAATCACTAAGATGTTGAATAAATGGGTAGGGATTGCAACAGAAATTGTTTTGGTAAACGATATGCTGAATTGATGTCCTAACGATACAAAATCACGAAGGAGGTTGAGTTTGAACCCACGGTCTTCTACTCAGTAAGCAAAATCGGTCGCCACAAGTCCACCGAGCTCCTCATTTCCTGCTCAACTTGCTGTTATTAGATTTCGATCCCAGCGATGACCTCACTGACAACGATAACAACTACTTTTTATTTATTTATTTATTCGTCAATCAATCAAATCGTAGAAGGATGTGTTATAGATTTCCGATCAAAACGTCTTTCCTAAAACTCACATATTTTTTTTTTTTTCTTTAAGTGCTCGTTCCTCCAGCCGAATTTCATATTAAAAAACAAATCCGATTTATCGTTAGCGTTGGCGTCAGCGTTGTTACGGTATATATTTTAATTTGCTGCATCTTTAAACAGACTACATATAAACTTATTCTTACTTACAATACACTAACACTTACATAAGCACGGATTATTTCTTAACCTAGATTTAAAAGCCTGTCTTGAAATATTAAAATCGAACGCGTCACAAACATTGTTGAAAACACAAACACAAGCACATAGAGGGTTGTTGTACCCATAATTTGTCCGATGTAGAGGAATGGATAGCAGATGACGACTACGAAGTTGGCGTTGGGGAGCGTTGATTCTTAGCTGTTCCAGCAACATAGGGCAATCCATCTAGTCTGTCAATAGATCGCGAATAAACAAGCTCCTTATACTGACCCTTCTGTTAGAGAACGATATTAAATTAATTAGTTTACATCGCGCAGGGTACTCTAGTCAGTTAAGTGGATCACGCCACCGCAGCTGTTGCAAAGCACATCTAAAAAAAGCTTCTCTGCATCCTTTCGATACGCAAGTCTTGACACGGATTGAATCTCTACGTTCAAGAGTAACATCATTCATGTAGTACTCATTTCCGATGGAAGTTTGACGGCGCGTGAACGAAATAGTTTTACACTTGTTAATATTAACCGACATACCACTTACAATGCACCATCGGTGTAGCTCATTGATATCGGCTTGAAGTGCACAGCACAGCGTAGGTTGGATACTAGTGACACTGACGTCTCTTTTGAAATTCTCAGTCAGACTGCTCTCAGGAATAATGATGGGATTCTAATTTAAACAAGGATATCAAAAACATGACTGTCGCTATTCCCAGCCACAACCATCTGTACCGTAACTAGGGATAGGGAAGGAAATGTTGATGTACTTACTTAACGAGAGACCACCGACTTAGCGACACCCTCATAAGAGCTACGGGGTTAGTGAATTAATCATGTTTTGTTGCTGTACAGCTTCGATATTCCTTTACATATTTTTCGACGTTCTGGTCCATTCTGGGCAACCACACATTTTTATGCAAATGGCTCTTTATAATCCAAATACCCGGATGCCACTCGTGTGCTATCTGCAACATTCGTTGTCGTAGAATCTCAGGAATTACAATCCGGTCTACGAGTCCGCATCGTGCTCTCTTGCCGTGCGGATCTATTTGCTTTTTGCTGAAGGAAGTGTTACTACTACCTAAAGCTACAACAAATTTAAACAGCACTTTTCAGTGCTCAACCTGTAAAAAATTTCTACCTTGTTCAACTCTTATTCCTCTTCGATCCTTGTTTGGACCCTACCCGAGGTAATCCTTCTTGGATATCGATTTGGAAAATTCCTCTTCGATCCTCTTCGATTTGGATAAAAATTTACTGCCGCCATGGCGCCTAAACGCAAAAGAAAGGGGCAAACTCTTGATCCCCGTTCTGATGAAATTAATTTGAGTAATCAATTTGATTTGCTCACGGATGATGAGAATGATCCATCATCCAAGAACAATTCTAGTAAACTTTCCCGGCTTAATGCCACGAAGGAAAAGATTCCCCCTATTGTTATAACCACTTCCGATTTCCATGCTCTTCACATGGAACTTTTGAATTTCGTGAAAGTTAAGTTTTCACTACAAATTGGACGTCGGGGTGAATGCCGTGTATTGGATGAAACCTTGGACGGATTTAAATGTCTTCTCAAGTATCTTACTGAGAAGCAGCACAATTTTTTTACTTACGACACCAAAACTGAAAGTGTGTTCAATGTTGTCATGAAAGGACTGCTCAGTGGTGAATCCCGGGATCAGATCAAAGATGAACTGGCAAAATTACTTGGAGTTGTGCCACTCCAAGTAATCAAAATGAAACTGAAATCCCGTCCTGGCGATTCGCGCAACGGGATTTCTAATGATTTTTATTTAGTTCACTTCAGGTCTAGTGAACTAAACAACCTTAAGGTCTTAGAAAAAGCTAGCCTTATGCTCCATGTCCGAGTGAAGTGGGAACACTTCAGGAAGACTGGAGGAAATTTCCAAAACCTCACTCAGTGCCGTAAGTACCAGGGATGGAGTCATGGAACTAAAAATTGCTACATGCCAGCTAAATGCATGAATTGTGGTGATTCCTGTCACGCAAAGGACGACTGTCCTGTGAAGGAAGATGCTAAGAAATTTAAATGTTCAAATTGTGGTGAAAACCACAAATCGAATTTTTGGGAATGTAAGACTCGCAAAGCGATCCTACAATCTCGTTCTAACCGACAGGTAGGAAACGCTCCACGTTTCCGACCAGGTACAAATTCCTCTGCTGTTAACAACGGTCAGCGAGGAACAAATTCTACATTCGTACCCGTAGGTACAAATATCACCCCTGCTTCAAATGTTTCATCTATACCTACTCCCCTCGCTGCTAACAATGTTCAGCGAGTTAATGGAGCTACCTATGCTGCTATTGCAACTTAGCAGCTTACGTTTATAGCTGCCTATTTGCCATTCCAATGCGGAAGCCAGCAAAATAGTTATCAGAAGGGTGACCTTCAGAAACTTACCCGTCATAGGTCTAAATTCTTTATTATTGGTGATTTTAATGCAACACACCTCTCATGGAACAATGCTCAAAGCAATTTCAATGGTAATATTCTGTTTTATGATTGTTCTGCAGGTTATTACACTATTCAATATCCAAACAGCCCAACATGCTTTTCTTCTGCAAGAAATCCCTCTAATATTGATTTGGTCTTAACTGATTCATGTCAACTTTGTAGCCAATTGATTACCCATGCTGACTTCGGTTCTGATCACCTTCCAGTAACTTTTGAAATATCCCAAGAAAAAATTTGTTATCCCAACAGCTCTACTTTCAATTACCATAGAGCTGATTGGGAGCAATATCGAACATTTATGGAATATAACTTCGATCCAAACATTCCTTTGCAAACCAAAGATGAAATTAATTATGCTCTTGAATCACTGACTACTTCTATAGTTGAAGCAAGAGCTACCTCAGTTCCAAAATGCGAGGTTAAATTCGATTCAGCTCTTGATCCGTCTTAAAAATGTCCGTAGGAGACAATATCAAAGAACACGCGATCCTGACATGAAAGTTATCAGGCGGGATTTACAAAAACAAATTAAAAAGCGATTCTCTGCCCTGAGGAACAAAACTTTTGAAAATAATGTTTCTAAATTAGACCCGAGTTCCAAACCCTTTTGGAAACTCACAAAAAATTTGAAAAAAAACCTCAAAAGCCTATTCCAGCGCTTAAAGAAGGTGGTAAAATTTGGATCACAAATTTGGAAAAAGCTCAGAAACTTGCTAAGCAATTCGAGACTTCCCATAATTCCAGTTTGGGTCTTACTAGTCCTATTGAGAATCAGGTTGCTCGGGATTATCTGAATATTTTCTCTCGGGAAAATATTTTTGATGATTTCTGGGGGACTGCTTTGGACGAAGTAAGGTCTGTAACTAAAAAGTTTCAAAATATGAAAGCTCCAGGTGATGATGGAATTTTCTATATCCTCATCAAAAAACTCCCAGAGAGTACCTTGTCTTTCTTGGTTAAATTATTTAACAGATGTTTCCATTTGGCATACTTTCCTGATAAATGGAAAAATGCAAAAGTTGTTCCAATTTTGAAGCCGGATAAAAATCCAGCTGAAGCTTCTAGCTACCGTCCAATAAGTTTGCTTTGTT